ATACTCTAATAACACACTAATACAAGTTCTCCAAAACGCTTCAGATACTCTAATAACACACTAATACAAGTTCTCCAAAACGCTTCAAATACTCTAATAACACACTAATACAAGTTCTCCAAAACGCTTCAGATACTCTAATAGCACACTAATACAAGTTCTCCAAAACGCTTCAGATACTCTAATAACACACTAATACAAGTTCTCCAAAACGCTTCAGATACTCTAATAACACACTAATACAAGTTCTCCAAAACGCTTCAGATACTCTAATAACACACTAATACAAGTTCTCCAAAACGCTTCAGATACTCTAATAACACACTAATACAAGTTCTCCAAAAACGCTTCAGATACTCTAGTAGCACACTAATACAAGTTCTCCAAAACGCTTCAGATACTCTAATAACACACTAATACAAGTTCTCCAAAAACGCTTCAGATACTCTAATAAAACACTAATACAAGTTCTCCAAAACGCTTCAGATACTCTAATAAAACACTAATACAAGTTCTCCAAAACGCTTCAGATACTCTAGTAACACACTAATACAAGTTCTCCAAAAACGCTTCAGATACTCTAGTAACACACTAATACAAGTTCTCCAAAAACGCTTCAGATACTCTAGTAGCACACTAATACAAGTTCTCCAAAAACGCTTCAGATACTCTAATAGCACACTTTCACCATTTCATTAACCTCTCATTGTAATCTAGGTATTACCCAACTCAATGGAAGTCTTTACTAATAACTGTTATTATGAAGAAAGACTCCTCTTTTTTTCAAGTTTCATGACTTCCGCTTATTTCAGCTTATTAAACTGTACTGGCAAACCCCAATAAAATATTATCTCTACAAGTGTGGTATGGTACCTATTGAAAAACAATACCATTTCAAACATCCAATAGGCGAGTTACAAACGAAGATAAGTTACAGACCGCCTAATTACATCAACATAGACAACTTCTCATGAGTTTAACGCCACCATCTATACTTTCTTAGATGTTAAAAAAAAAGCTATTGTAGCTATATCTCTACAAGTGTGGTATGGTACCTATTGAAAAACAATACCATTTCAAACATCCAATAGGCGAGTTACAAACGAAGATAAGTTACAGACCGCCTACTTACATCAACATAGACAACTTCTCATGAGTTTAACGCCACCATCTATACTTTCTTAGATGTTAAAAAAAAAGCTATTGAGGACGATTTTTTTAATACCTGGCATGGCCTGAGAGTAAAGGCGCTCGACTCGTAATATACTGGTCGTGAGTTCGAATCCCGTCACCAGACACGTTCACGTTTTCAGCCGTGGAAGCGTTATAAAGTGAAGATCAGTTCCACTATTCGTTGATATGTGTATATATAACCCAAAACTTGGCCGTGGGTGGTGTTCACTAGTTGTCTGCCTGATCTCCTGATCGGAATTTAGGTCTTGTGACCTAGGAGGGTCAGGTACTCTGAGACCTCTTCCTCCCAAAGACCTCTTCCTCCCAAATTGTCTTTCTTTTAATCTATCACTTCAAAATTTGGCGGCTGGAATAAATAGCCCTCGAGTAGCTTTCGGCGAAACGCAAATTAAATGAATAATTATCGTCTGTTTTACTTTACCTTCACCAACTACCTGATAATTAAGTGTAAGTCATATTACTACTCTGTTCCAGTGGTAAACTTTTACGGGTCAATAAGTCTCGAGATATATTGTCAAAAACGTTTAACACGTACATACACACACACACATATATATATATACAGAGAGAGAGAGAGAGTTTATGTTTTCGAGATTTTCCCCGTAAATTTAAGCCCTACAATATCACTGATGTTAAAAAAAAGATGTTGAATTTTCGTTCAGTTTAATGTAAACAGTATTAAGTATATAAATGTTTTCAATACTTAATAATGTTATTGTAATTACAAAAGTATTGTTGAGAATGTTATTTTATAGAGAGAGTCTGCATTATCAATAAGGGTATACATACGTGCATTTCTCTTATGGGTTTTGTCACCACAGCAATCGTATCTAAGGAATGAAAAATTTCATCACGCACACGACGAGCGCGTGCAGTATTTAACTGAATACGGTTTATCATAATTAGTTCAAAACAAATAAGTCTTAATCCAGTCTTCGCAATGCTGTATTAGAAGTACTTGCAAATACCTGTAGTGCACATATGTTTTTTGTTGTTTTTTTTGTTATAATATGTCACTAAAGTACAGGTAACAATCGATAGTCAGCGTCTTGAACTTTCGTGCTCAACACCTCACACTCAGCGAGGTAATAATGTACTCTCTTTCTGAATTTACCAAATTGTGCCAAATACGAAGCTAGTTACTTTTTAAATCAGCTTGTTCCCCTCGTGAATTTCAAAATAGGAAGATTTATTCGTAGTAACTGTTACCGTGTGGTGTAAGACTCACATTAACGTTCCTTGTCAATGTCAACTCCAAGTCGGAAACCCGAATACTTTCAAATTAATTATCTGGATTATTTTATGTTAATATGTTAACTTCCAATAGGGGTAACTTCAAGTAAAGCGATGTAAATGTCTACTATACTTATTCAAAAAATAATGTTTTAGCCTAGTGTCGTGCTTGTAATATATATACTTTAGTGCACACAATTTCTTAATGATTCAGCTAAATAGTAGTTTATATTATGAATTTATATTATCATGGCCAGGTGGTTAAGACGTTCGGCTCGCAATCTGAGGGTCGCGAGTTCGAATCCCCGTCCCACCAAAAATGCTCGCCCTTTCAGCCGTTGGGGCGTAATAATGTGACGGTCAATCCAACTAGAAAAAGAGTAGTTGGTAAAAGAGTAGCCCAAGAGTTTGGAGGGTTGTGATGACTATCTGTCTTCCCTCTAGTCTTACAGTGCTAAATCAGGCACTGCTAGCGCAGATAGCCCTAGTGTAGTTTTGACGCGAAAAACAAAACAAATCACTGACCGTACAAATTGGCATCACTCCCCCCACATACAAACTATCCATACCAGTTTTGATTTTTGCTCTTCCACTTCATACTGGAGTAATATATTTGATTCGCACTAGTAGCAGTGTTAACGGTGAGGAACGATTACATGAAGGTCTTTTTCACTATGCTATAAACTTAGATATAATATTATAAATAATATATAGGTAGAAATATGAAAGACGAAAGGCCGTTTACACTTGTGGAAGTGAAAACTAAATTCCAGATTATATTCCTGAAAACTGTTTTTGTTTCTCTGTCTGCTTCTTAACTTTTGTCCTGCTGCGAACTTTTATGAGTTCAAGCTTTGTCAAAGAATTGTCCCAATTATAATTTCCCAATTTTCCTCCACAAAGTATCTATTGTCTCGGATCTACTATTTCCAAGCACAAGGTTATGTAAATCGAAGGCCCCAAAAGTCGATTGGAGCTGTAAGGGAACGTGACGAACGAGACTGCTGTGATTCTAGTTTTTATTTGCTTGTTTGTTGTTGCTATTTTCAACCATCTATCTCGTACGAAACATTATATATATATATAGTAATAAGAGAGCTATATGGTCGACTTTATTTCCAAAACAAAAAAGATAACTCGCTTTTGTTGTCCTGGGTTGTTTAAGCTTAGTTTCAAACTGTAAGCAAATTTAATCGTGTAGAATAGCACAAACTGGGATATTTTTAAACGGTTCGTAAGCAAAAATACATAAATTCGAACATCAGTTCGAAGTATTTGAAACCCCAAGTTAACAATTTTCAATTAAACTGTTCATGCAGGATAAAAAAAAACCATTATACTGCTAAGCCTTAATAAATATTCTAGTAAAAACGTTTATCATCAGGCGAGGCACAGCGGGATGTCTGTGGACTTACAACGATAGAAAACGGGTTTCGATACTCTTGGTGGGCAGAGCACAGATAGCCCATTGTGTAACTATGTGCTTAATTACGAACAAGCATCAGGCGAGAAACTGCCGTCTATACGTTCCAAAATAATTCCATACTTAATAGCTATAAACTACGTGACATTACTGTTGCATTTAATAATCCCAAGTTTCAACCAGTTATTTTGTAATAATTAAGATTCTTTCATACTGTTCGTTTAGCTTTACTGAGTATGATAACTTTGAAAATATTTTAGATAATATTTATTTAATATAGATATTGGAATTTATGACCTTAACAAGTTTTACTCTCTGAGTTTTTTACGAACTCATTTTTTTATCGCTTATATTCCTAATTAACAGCTTATAATGTTGCTGTTTTTTATAAAAACAAAACTGTATGACCAATAAATATGAACTAATATAACAGTCGACAATATGTCTCAGCATAAAGTACAAGAGGAAGAGCGCTACGTATTATGTATTTGATGTATATATAAGTACATACACATATGTGTGTATATATATATGTCGTGTATTGAAGGGGAGTTGACGACACCAATGTGTGATTTCTTTTACAACCTAATATGGTGAAATATAAAAAATATATACAAATTATATTTTATACTGAGTTAAACACAGTTCTCAGTCCTCATTCGATTGTGTGTCTTATCATTATTTATTGACAGGTCAGCAGCCAGATTTCCCAAGAGATAGCTGTTGGATTTACTAACCTACGTCAAAACACAGTGCGACCTTGTTTCCTTTTCCACTGCAAGGAATCGCATTGTTTAAGTGCCCGTTGAATGAAAGAGCCAATGACGTCACACGTGGCAACAGAAGCTAAAATCTTTACATATCGGGTACCTCAACGTATGTTACACGAAACTTTGTGGAGTCTGTATTCTCACATGCTATGAATGCGCATGTGTAGATATGTAGAGAGTCGAGCAGTACATGGGAATTCGACTTATAAAATGTATAGGAATGTCGTGGACTCAAGAAATCATTTTACAGAATCATGTAGAAAGTTTTACAGCGCTCGTAAATTTGAATCTTCTTTTATAATAGTTTATCCAACTCGAAGATTTATGGGTCCTTCCTCTACCCAGCCTTCTAGAACTTCTGGGAAACGTTGTTGTGTATAATGGGGAATCGCATCACCACGGTCCTATCCCATAGAAAAAACAACACACCCTCTTCGGTGGCATCAACTCTGTTGGACGATATTATCAGTAGAGCCGATGTGGACGAAGATTATGAAGTTTATAAATTCGCAAATTATCGAAAAGGGGGCTCTCTTATCGAAGCTTTTAATCGTGGAGGCATCGGGGAAGTAGAAGTAATTGCCCGAAAAGAGCTAAAAAACTATATGTACGAAAACGGCGAAGGAGCCTTAATACCAGAAATTGAATATTTACAAGCACGTCACCGACGTAATAACGAGGTAAGCGAAGAATAAAATAAATCACTCTTATTTTTACAACATTTATTGCCAATGGAAGAAGTTAGTCTGCTAACTAATTCATTCTGCGTACAATAGGCCTTTTTTTTTCATTTTAAACTACACATTTTTACTCGCTTACAACTTTCTGGGCATATTTCATTAATTTTGGAAGTAATGTGATCTTAATTCTTAACTACACATTTTTACTCGCTTACAACTTTCTGGGCATATTTCGTTAATTTTGGAAGTAATGTAATTTTAATTTTAAACTACACATTGTTACTTGCTTACAACTTTCTGGGCATATTTCATTAATTTTGGA